AATTTGATTTTTCTTTCTAACTGAAGTACTTGCCACTTGATTTAATTTCATCATCTTGATTTCAGACCAATTCTCCAATGTATCACAGTCATTTTAAATTCTAATCCTTTCCTCCAAAGTTCTTGCAACCCTTCCCAATTTGATAATATCTGCAGATGTTATAAGCATATTCTCCACTCCATTATCCGAATCACAGACTCCTCTGAGAGCCCATTAGATGTGCTCACCCATTTTGACACCAAACCATCAATAACTACTCTTTGACTTCAGTCTTTCAATTAGTTGTGCAGCCACTTTGTTTCATCTAGACCACATTTCCTTAGTTTGCTTATGAGAATGTCATGTGGGACTGTGTAAAAAGCCTTGCTAAAATCAAGATGTCACATCTGCTGCTTCCCACACACTCCCCATCCATGAGACCAGTAAACTGTCCAGAGGGAAAAAAAGTAGTTTATTTGGCTTGATTTGCTTTTGAGAAATTCATGCTGGCTATTCCTTATAATCCTGTCATCCTCTAAGTATTTTGACAGGGTCAGGCCAGAGGAGTAAAGGAGATGGGAGAAGGGATTTATATCAGCCCTTGATTAAGTCTCTGTACCTAGGGTAATAAGGTCTAATCTAGAGCCAGCAGGACTTTTCCAGTACCAGTCAGGGCAATTAAGTCACCTAGAGCCAATTAGGGGGTTTCCCAAGTCAAGTGAGTTAGACTAATTAGAATATTTGGGGCCAGTGAAGAACCAGTCGAGACTCGTTCAAAAGGGCTCCCTTTCCAGTAGCTCAGGATGTGTGAGAAGTTTGAGGAGAGAAGAAGCTGTGGAGTGTTTGAGAGGAGAAAGTGAAAGCAGGTACCAGGAGGAAGAACCTGCAGTAAGGAAAGTGCTGGGCAAGGAAAGGCTGTAGGGAAGTGGCTCAGGGAATCATAGCTGTCACAGAACTGTTACCAAAGATATTAAAGACAGCAGCTGGGCTCGTACCTGGAGTAGAGGTGGGCCTGGGCTCCCCTCCTCTTCACCAATTCCCCCTTCCAGTATGAGAAAGAGACTGGCCTTAGTATAGGGTGCCTTATATCACTTGGAGAGGCCAAAGAGACTATGAAGATTGGTTTTCTCCTCTTTTTCCCATACTGGCCAATGAGGAGAGTAGCTCATCAAACAACAATCTGGTGTCTAAATTGAGGGCTACTGTGAGCCTCTGTGGCAAGTCATTTGCCTTAAAGTATGGGACCCAACAAGGTTGAGGAGGCACTTTGTCACAGTATTTATAAATTAATTGTGCATTGGTTTAGTCCAGTAATTTTCCAGGTATTGAAGTTAGGCTAACTGTTCTATAACTCTTCAGGTTGTCTTTGTTCCACTTTTAGAGACAGGTACTATATTTCCAGTCCTCCGTGAGCCCTTAAAGTGAATTGCCACCAGTTCTAAGATTGCTTCAGAAAGTTCATTAAGTATTTTAGGATGAATTTCATCAGACCCTATCATCTTGAAGACATCTAACTCATCTAAGTATTCTTTAACTCAGGGCTTAACATTCCTCCCTTTGTTCTTAATATTAATTTTCTTGAGTATCTTGTCATAATTAACTTCTTTAATGAACACTGAAGCAGAATAGGTATTAACCACCTCAGCCTGTTTGATGTTATCAGTGATTAGCTCTCTTCCCACACTAAGTAGAAGACTGCACTTTCCTTCATCTTGCTCTTGTTCCTCATGTATTTAAAGAAGCTCCTGTTACTACATTTTTATGTCCCTTCTTAGGTTTTGTGTCTTAGCCTTTCTGATTTTGTTCGTATAGGGCTGTACTTTTCTTTGTTCTTCTCACTAGCAACTGGTCTGTTTTTCCACTTTTTGTAGGGTTCCGTTTTAATTTTCAATGAGGAGTTTTTGATGAAGCCATTTTTGCCTCTTACTGTTCTATTTTTATTTTGCATTGGAATAGTTGATAGTTGTATTTAATAGTGTCATTGCTTAAATATTCTTCCCATGGGATCTTCACTACCAGTCTTCTAATTTTTTAAGTTTGCTTTTTTAATCTTAATTGCCCTTGTTCTATTTATGATCATCTGTGCTTGTGCTGGCAGGGTAAAAGGCAACATGCATTTCATGTGAGCAATGAAGGAGGCTGGGACATGTCCCCAGTACCTCCCAATTACTACTTCACTTTTTCAAGTTGTAGGTTCCTTTATCCAAAGCGCATGTGACTTGTTCTGGATTTTTTTCCCAATAGCTGAATTATCACAGCAAAATTGACTATTCATCCCTATTTCATTCAAGATCTTCACTAGACTCACATGATTTTTTTCCATCAAAGACATAGTAAGATTGCCCTAGGCTGCACTTTATGCAGCTTTTATAAATCTGGCTTGGATCAAGTGGTTTAACACTCTAGGGAGTGGCATGGGTTCTCTCCAAATCTGCCTTTAGGAAGTGCCTATGTTTGCTTTAGAATTTCTGGCTCTCTGCTTCTTCAACTTTCAGATGATCCTTCACACACACAATTGGAGCCAGTTCATTAGCAAGTCTTGCTTTTTGGCTCAAACCTTGGGCAGCAAACTTCATGTCAAAAGTTAATTTAATCAGCTTTCTCTTCAGGAGAGATGTTTAATTAAGAGGACTTGGACACTGCACAAGATGAGGTATTTTTTATTCTAATCAGTAGTGCACCTTGATTTTTATATTTGAGAGTTCCAGAAAATAGTGACTAACAAGGAATACTTTTCTAATGGATAAACTTAGTTTCTTCAATTTTATCAAAACAAATCCATACACCTACCATCAAATTAGAATATCCATGTGAAACTCTGTGTGTTGGGATTAGTTAACTACATTTTCTATCATAAATTAGCTCTACTTTCTATAGTTATTTGACAATACAGAAATAACTCTGTATAAGTTCAGTTTATTGCTGACAAAGTATTTTGGAAAAGTTATGTAATCAGTGAGCAAATCAGCTTTCTGTATGTACTCAGTGTCCATCAGGCCTGCTGAGAGGGGGAGCAAAGGGAACAACTGCCCCACGGCCCATCGATTCTAAAGGGCCTGGGACTCCTGGCCACCTGTAGCAGGAGCAGCTGGAATCACGAGCCCTTTAAATTGCCACTGGACTGCTGCTCAGCTTGGTTCCAGGTGTTTCTAAGGGCTTGGTTCCAGGTGACGTGGGAACTGGCTGCCCTGGTCCTGCCCATTCCACCTGAGGCCCTGTATCTTCTGGGAGCACAGAACTGCTGCCACCTCTTGCCCTCTCCCCCTTCTCCTCCCCCCCCCCACCTTGCCTAAGGGCCTGACATGGCTGTTGGCTCTCCTAGTTTCCATTACCATAATGAAGCAATGTCCCAGAGCAGCTTACTGATTATACTACCTGTGTTCTATGTAATATCCCAAGTAGAATCAACTATAGTTTTTTGGAAAGGGGACTTATAGTTACACCAATTATTCTTTAATGTAATAAGCAAAGTTTCCAAATTTCTCAAGACACCTCTCTTGGTCATCTTACTTGACTGAGAAAAGCTAGAAGAGACTGTCTGGAGGCTTTCAGCACTGTTCCTTTCTCTGTGAAGAGAGTTTCTGCACAGGAACACCAAGGGAATTTGCTATCTATGGATTTACTCCAATCCCAACTTTCTCGGGGAGCAAAAGTCACAGCCTAGGAATTGAAGCAAAATACCTTATATGGCACTGAAAAGCACCAAGTAGCCCATAGTTTGGGTATACGGCAAAAGGTAATCTTTTTGCTCTGAACTCTGAAGGAAATATCAAAGCAGACAAAGTTGTTTGTGACCTGTTATAAATGTCTCTCTGAAATGCTCTGGAAGCTAGTTTATGATTTTTTTCTAAACAGTAAATTACAGAGATCTCTATGCTAGTTGTATGATATTTGGGGGGAAAAGCTTGGGACTAAAGAATTTGTCTTTTATTCCAAATTCTAGATGTAATTATAGAGAAAAGGGCTGAGGAAGCAAAGCTGGTCTGTTTTATTTTGATTGGACTTAAGCTTTCTGTGGTCAGAAGACAGAGATTAAAGGGTCTGTAATTAGGTTCCATACTTCATGTGTCTTAATGCCCAGAAAGGCTAAACCCCTGCTGCGGGCAATAGTAGTTGCCAGAACCATCAAGAATAATTCACAGATGCAAGTGAAAAAGGAAATTATGCACACTTTCTGAAATAATATGTTTTATCTTTCTTGTCTCTGTAAGAGTGGCTGGGTGGGGGGGGGGGGAGTCCCACAAAATATCTAGTAAACAAGTCAAATTTGAGGTTGGAGGAAATAGTTTTACTGCTTGAAGCAGATGGCCTGGACCTTGCAGATGTTCCTGTATTTTTGAGTTGTGGGTTTTTTAAAAAAATTCCTCTTCCTCCTATGCCACCTCCTCCTTGAATAAACTGCAACAGTGTGCCCAAGGAAATATGGGTTTCTGTGTAAGTGTATAAAGCACTGTGACAAGTCAACAGGTATGACCGTGTAGCAGCACCCACACAGGTGTTGGTTACCTCCCTTGTCATTGTCTCTGTAGAGCTAGTATTTGGGGCGCCTCCCACACCCACAGCATATTTAGTCAAAACCATAAAATATAATTCTTACAATTTCATATTGATAATTATATTCAAATTTAGATTAAAATGACTTTCAGCATATCATAACCTTTCACCTGATACCTCACATGGCATGCTCTATATGCAATATCACAATTATATACAGATGAGGAATATGAGGCTTCCAGGGTGCCTCCCCCAAGGTATAGAATATCACTTAGAGAAAGGTATATCTTTTGAGCAACAATTCCTACCGATGTAGCTATTTGAAATTTTAGACTAGGCGGTGAAGCATCTGAGATTACTCCAACAATTTCCAGTCACTTCTCTTAATAGCAGTAGGTAAAATGACATTTTCTTTAAATTGAGTTTACAGCTTGAGTATGGGTTAGAAGCTGGAGAGTTTGTGGAATTTTACAGTTGACTGAAAACATATTCTGGTCTGTGCTGAGTGTGTGTTCTTCACTTCACAGGCAAGTCAAAGACCAAAATAAGAAGGTAGCAAACCTTAAGCACAAAGAACAAGTGGAGAAAAAGAAGAGTGCGCAAATGTTAGAAGAGGCCAGACGGAGAGAGGATAATCTCAATGACAGCTCGCAACAGCTTCAGGTATCATAAAAATTTGAATTGGGAGTATATGGCTGATAGCCAATTTTCTCTCCTTGGTCTGGATATGAACCTTCTCTCGCCCCTCCCCACCTCGCACCTGCTACCTTGCTTTTGAACTTGTTGCATAGTAAAGGAATTGATTTGCGTTAAAAAAAAATAACCAGTTTTGTTCCACAGCACTTGAGGGATAGCTGCCTCTGGCTTCTGCTTCTGCAGTTTCATTCATGTTTATGGTAAGTAAACAGGGATCCATTTGAACTGTAAAGTGGATTGCTGGAATGGTTTTATCACATGGGTATTAAGATTGGAATATTGATTTCTGTCTCATTGTTACATCTAAAAACTTCTTTCTTTAGTTGTTTTGGGGTATTTTTCCAAAGGATTGAACCTTATTTTGCTGGATTTTCTTCATTAAATGAAGGATGAAACACATGACAACATCAGTAAGTATTCCTGTAGCAGTGGAAATGTATTGTGGGACATGTGGAGGATCATATGTTTTCTGTGATTACCAAGAACTTCCAGTTGGCACCAAATCCTACTCCACTTCTCATCAGTTCCAGATGTACCCACTACTCTGCTACATATTTCCCTTTACCCATTAAACTGTCAATGCACTATGGTATCACCACCTATAAAGTCACTAGCCTCCCACAAAATGGTATAGACAAAATAAAGTTAGAAATTTAAAAGCAGGAGAAATGTTTTTCCATTCACTGAACTTTGATACCAACATCCCAAGTTACCAACATCCCAAGTTATGTCAAACAGTGAATAATCAAGTGCTGTTATGTCATTGTTATAACTGCTTCAATGAGTAAGCATAGAGAATGAAGAGAGTCATTCAAAAAACTTTCAAGTATAATTGCTTTATATCAAAATAATTTGCAGCTTTTAAAAATCATTTCCTTTCTTTTCCCATCATAAGTATAATGTGGAAGAAGTAGTCTGCCTTTTAAGTCATATTCTGAAACTTGTGATTTTTGACTCTTTATAGGTCATTCCTGTTTGTAAACATTTAGCTTTACTTTAAGTGGCCTAATCCTGACCAGGGGTATCTCGTTATTTGATATCATTCAGCTAATAAAAACACAGGATATAATCCTGATTGTTCATTGGAAGGCAAATTCCCCAGTTAATTTAAATTTCCTGTTTCTTCTGCTATTCTGTGAGGTCATGGTGGGGGTGATTTCAACTTTTCAGTACTTCAAAGACCACCAACGAGACATGGATCTGTCTCTGTGTACTGCTTTCTCAGCCATACCATCTTGTGGTTTTTATAGTACTGTACACAAAGTGCACTCAAAGAATTAACTTCCAAGTGCATGGAGTGATGTCATGACTAGATTTTTTAAAAGCCTTGGATATGGGAATGCTACAGCTCTGATGCATTCTTTACAGAATGTTACAGAAATCCACAAGGCACTAATTGATGTGATAGTATATGTACACTCTACAGAATCCTCTTTGACTTTTCAAAGTCTCTTAAAAATTTCCCATGAAGATGTTTTTGTTTACTTAGATTTTTGAACTATGCTTATGTAAATATTTTAACTCTGAGTATGTATCTATTTGACATCTGAGCTAATAACCTAGTGCGTAGTGGTATTTATCAAGTTGTGCCATCCCATGTAGATTATTGTTTCTGTAGTACTGTATTTATGGATTATTTTGCAGTAGAGTTGTTATGGAAAAGTGTATTTCTAAAAATATATATGAATATTTCTAAAATATGTGCAAATATGAATTAGCATAATTTTAGTATGAAAATTTACAGATTTAAAATTTGAATCTGCAAATAAGTAATCAATTTAAATCTATGGATTAGAATCTAGGCATAAGTAACCAGTTTCCTCTAACAGGGAAGAAAATTAAATGACTTGGATGACTTTTTTATTCTATTCCTGTTTTTTGAAAGGTTGACTTTTTCAGTATTGATTTGGATTCCTATAATAACATCAAGACTATTGAATAAAAAAAGAAAACAAACTGAGAAGGGGAATGCTACAGTATATAATTTGCTAGCATATTATCTGCTCCTTGTAATGATTCAGCACTTCCACGTTGAGGCAGATCACAACAGTGACTTCATGAAATGTCTATCTTGGCAGTGATTCTTGAAGTGTGTTATATTCTGCTTAATGAGGCTTAAATTAAATTCAGATAAAAATGTGTTTTGGAAGATCCATTTGTGAATTCAGGATTGGCATAGCATGGGTTGATAGATCAGACTTTAAGATATACACAGAAATCTGTACAGCATTGGTGTTCCTTGGTTCTGAACAGTATCATTCTCTCTTTAATGACCTAACTTCTCCACACCAAAAGCCTTAAAAAATACACATTGTAGTGATATTATAAAATATGATTGTTTATTTGACAAGGACGAAGGAGCAATTTCCAACTTGTTTGGGGTTCTTTTTGTTTTGTTTCACTGTGATATGTTGTCTAGTGGGATAGTGGCTCTGTATGTGGCTTTTTCAGGGTTTATAATGGTCCCCAGCAGTTAACCATTCATTGTAAACTGCAATACTCATAAAGGTCAATTGGATTAAACAGAGGTAAGAATCTTCATGAAAACCAGCCCCTTTGTTACCAGTGTGCCAGTTTCCTGTCACCTGGATGCTTTTCTTGTTCACAGAAGGATGGAGGGAATACTTTCATTCAGAGATGAAAAAGGGTTTTAGATGTTAATGAAAATATCAGACTAAAGTAAAATATGGAGTGTTTAATGGCAAGTGACAGCTCCAACAAAACCCTTTCCTTTAGGTGGGCTCTTTTCTTGCAGCTTGCCTCTCTAGGACTTGAGCATTTGGTTTCCTGGAAGTAGAATCTACCAAATACCACATTTCAGTTCCTTACACATGGAGGTCTGTCTTTTCCTTAGTCTCTAAGAACACTGTTTGCTAATTGATTAAAAAAATTAAATCTGGGGAGAAAATATATATATCTTACATGCAAACATTATTGGGTTTGGGGTCAGGATACACAAGCACCAATTTCAGATAATTTTGGTCTTGGTGGTTTTGGCTGGAATTAATAATAAGGCATTATGAAACACTTAAAAATATGATATCCGTGTTCCTAAGTTGGCCATCTGCAATCCAGCCAAATAAATATACTTCCAAGCATATATTCCACTCCTCCTGTCTCTGTCCCTAACAGACTTGTGGTTTCTTTCTTCCTGAGTCCAGTAACAAAGTATTCGTTTATAGAGAGAGCTCTGATGATGGAAATTTGGCATTTTGGGGAGTGCGGGTGGGGAAAGTGTGTGTGGGGGGAACCAGCGGAAGAATGGAAACCATAACATCTCAATTCTAGTGAACTAGATGAACGGGATTCTAAATTTGTTTCTCCTTTCTGAGTTCTCTTAAAACCACAATTCCCAGAGATAGAAGTTAACGAGCGCCTGGTCTGTAACTGAATGATAAAATAGGCTTCTGGTCCTAAGTAGAAAAGGGCAACATAAAAACTTGTGCTTTAAGAAGCTGAAAAATCACCACAGACCCATTGAAAAATATCTGAAATAGTGAGAGATGCCATCTTGTTTGCATTGTCTTTGTAAGGTGACATTTGGTGAAGTTTCATAAAATATTGAATGGATATTAAGAGCAGGTCTGTTGGAGTTTTCAGACAGAATTAGTAAGATGCTGTCAGTGTTTCTTTTGTAGCATCATATGTCACCTCAGTGACCTTTGCTGAGCATTTGTGTATTGAAGTATCATGAGTGTATTGCTCCCTGTCTACATTTATGCTTAGATAACAAATGTATAATACCTAGAGCATTTAGGGAGAGAATATATCCTGAAAAGAATTTTCTGTCCATTCAGTTATGCATTTTTTAATAGTCCTTGTACAGTAAATGGTAGGCTATTATGCAGTGCACTGGTACTCAAGCAGAGCTACAGGAAATTTGATGGATAGCAATTCAGTCAGGATAAAATGTTCAGGTTTGTTACTTCAGGTTGAGTAGTTTTAAGTAGTTATCATGAGGCCAAATTTTACACACATGCATGTGTTTATACACATACCCTGTGAGTTCAAGAAACTCAAACATCTGAGCGCCAAAGTAGAATACATCTAGTCTTGAATTCCTAAAGTGAAAATTTAAATCCCAACCAACAGTGATTTTTAAAGATTTTGCCAGGGACAGTGACAGAGCTTGTTACTTCTCTTTCTTGCGTAAGTAACCACAGTAACATTAGTTAAACACCAGGAGGAAAGGTGATGTTTTCTTTCAGGATAATCCTCCTTAATTCATCAATTAACTTACTTTTGGACAACATGAGTGTAACTGTGGTGTTTGGTCAGTGCCCTGTAGGTCATTATGCTGAAGGAGGCTGAATAGTAAAGGAGTGTTTTGTGAGAGCTATGAAAATCTATTGTAAGAAGTCTAGTACTCTCCCTCAAGAAAGGTCACTTTATAGACAGATGCTGGGAAGGAAACCGATTAGTTAGATATAGATATCAAGATGCAAGAACATGCAGGACAGGAGTTAAGGAAGGAATATTTAGGGTACAAAGTACCATAGAAAGCTGAAACCCAAGACAGAAGTATTACTAAGGTACATACTTAAGATCAGCCAGAAAACTAAAGTGTTCCCATGCATGGACAAGAAGAGGAGAAAAGTGAAAGTTTGACAGACTTTTTAGGTCACTGAGGTCTTGTACTATGGGAAGGGGCTCATTCTAAGCTTTAAGCATGCCAGATTGCTGCTGGTGATACACAAGATTTGGCGTGTAATTTAAAACTAGTATTTGAAGGAAAGCCAGCAGGTGCAGAGAACAGTTGAGGCTGGACATAAATGCTATATTTGGCTATAGATGTGATGAGAAACAAGAGTTCAACCTGTTTCCAATGCAAAGATAGTTGATGATCAGTCAGATGGTTCATAATTGTACTGTAACAGGAATACATTTGTGCATTTATAAAATGAAACGAAATTTTTAAAATGAAAGCTTTAAATACTATGCTGGAAGGTTTGACTTGTCAAGGAGAC